TGTGTGTGTGTGTGTGTGTGTGTGTGTGTGTGTGTGTGTGTGTGTGTGTGTGTGTGTGCGCGCGCGTCTGCCACCTTCACCATCCGTCCCACTGATATTTACTGCTGCCTGAAATACTCTCTCATTCCTTTTTTTTTTTTTTTTTTGGTTTGCACTATTTTGATTGTGTTGCTCCTGTTGTTGTGTTAAAGCAAGTGAAATGAGGCCAAACGGGCCTGCAGTCAACGGCAGGAAAGGCAAGTCTCTCCTGGAGTGTGTTTACAGTAGAGCTTTGCATGTATTTTCCTCTTTTTGTTTGCTTTTTTCTTGAAAGAACTTTCATGAGAACTTTAAGGGCTGGGCAACATATACGATTATCAGTATATTTGAAGTTGAAATTAAAGTCACTATGAATCAATTTTTAAAAAAATATCTTCAATCCAGGTCTTACTCTGCATATGAAATGTAATATATATATATACATATATATATATATATACACACACACACACACACACATATATATACATACACACACACTACACTATTTCTGTTTTTCATTTAAAACTATTTTATGGGATTTTTCTATACTCAATAATGTATAAATGCACTAAATATACTGCCTTGTTTGTTTGTTTTTTTGGTCAATTATGGGCACACCATATTTGTATTTTATAAAACCAAATCAAATAAAACCATAAAAAATATAGACACTGATGGTGGATAAGGAGATTCCCCCAATAAAAAGTGTAAAATGCTTTGAGTGTCCAGAAAAAGGAGTAAGGAATTATTATTATTATTATTATTATTATTATTATTATTATTATTAGTAGTAGTATAAACCAAACTGTTTTTGTGAAATTGTTATCACCCAACAACTTTTTTTTTCTTAATATTTAACCTAGAAACTGACTAGTGTATGTATATATATAATATATATATATATATAGTAATTTTGGATGTTGATAATATTTTATTGGTGCCTTAAAATTAGAAGTTAATAATTTGTTTAGTAATGTATTTAAAAGTATTCAATTAAGCAATTAGCAACACAGTTTATGGTGTAAATATAGCAAAAGCGGTACAGTTTTGGTATTTCTGTATACATTATATACAAAAATTTACACTTGCACTGCTGAAAATGAGATGATCACCCAGCCCTTGCTTTCTTAAAGCTTAGTGAATTAAGTAATAATGAGTCGAATGAATAATATAGTTTTTCATGGATGAGTTGTTGTTGTTTTTTATTTTTTTGTCTCTTTGTTTCTAGGTTGGTCTTCCTCTTCATATCTCATATATCTCTCTTGTGTGGGCTGTCATAGTTTTAATGTGTTTTGCTGTGAATAACGAGAGGCATTTAGAGTGTGTGTGGTAAATGGATCTGGTTTGTGTCTGGACAAATGATTTACTCTGAGCTGTATACAGCCAGATACACTTCCACACATCATTTTTAGATGTTAAAAGCTTTATTTTGTTGAAACTCTTAATATGGATTGGAATTATTGAGATATTTTAGAATACAGTAAGCGCCTGTGTACGTCAGGAATTCATTTGCTGCAGTAGCAGAGTTTGACCAGCAGATAGAGCACAATCATGTGTAGAAAGGAGCTGTTCACTGCTGCAGTGCTGAAGTGCATTATTGACTCGTCGCCGTCCTCTTTGATCTATATGAACTAAAATCTTATTAATAGTTGTAATTTATAACTAATTATTTATCTCTGTTTTTGTAAACACAAATTATAGATACGTTTGATCAGTTTTTTTTTTTTTTTTGGAACACATTTAATTCATAAAACTGGGATCAAAAAGTATTTTAATGTCTAAGTTATCCTGATGTGTGGCATTTGCATACAAAGTATCAAACCAGGTGGCATTTGATCTTTTATAAGCACACATAAAATTATCACAATGCATTT